CGCAAGGTTGCTCAGCCGCCGCGGGAGCTCTGGATCGTCCGTCAGCGTGAGCTCGACCGCCCGTCGGTCTGCATCGAGTGCGCTCTCCAGATCGCTTGAGTCCCTGAAGCAATTGAACCGAGAGCCGAAGGAGGCCGCCAGATTGCTCAGCCGCCGCGGGAGGGAAGAATCGTCTGCCGAGGAGGACTTCACTGCACTCTGAAAGGCGGAGATCGAGCACTCCAATTGCTGCTTAATGCGGGATTGAAGATAAAGACTGTGCGCCAACGATTGCAAGGCGCTGGGGCAGTGGTATTTTGCACTGCCGTGATTAGTTGCACGGACTTCATGTTAGGACAGTAGGTCTCATACTATGGACGAGTACATGTTTCTGCGAAGACGGGAAGGCACTGCGTAGTGGGGCTATGCGGCGTCTCATAATTCCGTCTACATAGCTCCCGGTGATAGGTTCCGTGGAAGGCGCAACCGTCTGAGCGTTTCACTATTTGGGCTGGAACAATGACTAGGATGAGGGCACTGGAGAGTGAGGACGTGTACGTTCTTCGGGCGAAAACGGGCAAAAACGGGGGAGATTGTGTGATTATAGCGCCGGAGATACTAAAGATGGTAGTGACGAATATCAGAGCCCGCGACAACGAAACACCATGTTGGTGGTCAAGGGCGAGGAGGCTGCGCGACGTGTTTAGGTAGAATACAGAGCGCGGGCTCGAAGATATATGGAGAGTTCGTCAGGATGTCCTTGGTACTAGGTAGGTATCTCAACGCACGGAGTATCCTCAAGTCTCGCATGGGCATCTCCTCCCCAGGGCCACCTTCCAACATCGATGACCTTCCCTGCTACATACCCGACGGCGAATCTTTCCCCGTCGAACGGACTCCATTGTATGTGCCGAGCAATATCTGACGTGAGCGAGAACTCTGGCATAGTAGTATCAGAGATGCGAGAAGTCGCGATCGCGAGTGGCGCGCAGGAAAGGGGTGGGGATAGAATACGCGGACCCGGGAATCATTGTTGCGGAGGATTCGAGTGTTTGACGTGTACCGGACAGATTGAGCAGCTCTTGGAAGCGCTTGTACTCGGGCAGAACGGTTCTCGCAGACGTAGTGTATCGAAGGGTCTGGGTAGTGAAGTTCCCAAGATCGCGAACGGTGATCAAGAGCATTGCGGATGGGCGCTCGTTCGTGAACGCGGCGGGCCGGCGGCATCCGCATCGTTGCTAGGGTTAGGGTTATCCGGTCGCGGCGCCAATGCAGGTCCTGGTCAAGTAGTCTTTCAAGTTAAGCTAACTAGCATTCTCGCTGAAGCGTCGCTTATCGGGAGAATCTCGACACCTTTGAGGAAAGGGGAAGTGTCGACTGAGCATGCTGGAGCGATCTCGTACCAGCTCGAGTACGGGCACGCGGTGACGGCAGCGCCTCAGTTGGAGATGCACGGTCAAGGAATCATTGAGTTATTACTTAAGAATATAGAGACTTCCTCCGAAGATCGTCTACCGATACATGAGCATGACCGTCCCGACCGACTAGACCAAGCATCGTACCTTCATACTCTATGCCGCGCTCGGGCAAATACTTCTTATAATAATCGCAAATAGCTTCGTGCACCAAGGTCAGAGCTTCCCAAGGGGTGTACAGGTTTTCACCTTCACTTGGAAGGGCACAAGAGATGGCAATATCTAGGCACCTACTGAACCGATTACGATGATTCAAAGTGCTGAGGGTGGTCTAATAGGCTCCTGGAGGACTCAAAACTTATATCTTGCAATGATACGGGCTGGCTGTTCAGATACGTAGTAGGGGGATGTGGGTCAAAAACCACCACTTGGAAGGGCTGCGATTTGCACAAAACCAACGGCTCAAATTCCTGCTCATGCTACATATAGCATCTATAGTACTCAAAGACACACTACGACAAGTCTTGAATCTCGGCTTCACGTAGTTCGAGAGCTGTTCGTTGTTGACGACGGCGTCGACGATGTGGTCACGTGAGCGCATTTCCGCAGAGAGGACAGGTCTGCGTCATAGATGTAGCAGGAACCGCTTGGGCTGGGGCCGCTATAATTGACGAGTATGTCAATGATAGCACTCAGAGTATCTATGACCAAGCTGAAGCTCCAAGAGTCGGTATCGGTCCATCTGCGGGCCGATTTCCTTGTGTTTGGGGCATTCCCACGGCTAAACCGCGGATACAGTACGGTTTACCGCACTCCATGGGCTGTGGCAGCACCAAGCATATCATATGCCATATACACGTCATACGCAAAAGGCACGATGAGGTTTGATGCGGTTTTGGGCGAGAATCGTCATCCTTCCAAGTGGTGGTTTTCTTCCAAGTGATGGTGAAAACCTGTACTCAAGAGTTGCTGGCAGCTTTGGACGGGAGTTCGGGCCAAGGGCCTTGCTGGAGAGATGGGTTCAACGGCGTCGAGACGGCGTGCGGAATCCGGATGTCATTTTTACGTAGCATTTGCCGGACGTATACAAGAACTTCATTCAACGCGTACGCGCTTCTGCGGTCACATTGTGTACATTTCGTGGATGGAACAGATCGCGAAGGGTGATGAAACTCCGGATGGTGGTCAGAAGCAAGCGGGGAGGAGCGTCTGAGCGCGTCGTCCCTCGTGTGACGCGAGCGCGGCGTCTGGATCCCGGACAGGGTTAGGGTTAGCCTACCGCGCCCTGAGGCCCCAGCCGCCATACAGTATCAAACCAGCGCGATGACATGCGGGGCGCAATATTCTTACTGGGATACTTCTGGTATCATCATAGTAAGCGGTTTGATCATGCCCAGGCATGTCTAAGTACGACTGTCCGCAACGCAATCACCGTCCGGCCACCATCCCCACATACACTTCCATATCACCTCGATACCGCGATCCTCGCATGTACGCCGTCCACGCCCCTCGTAAACATCGCCCACCACAGCTTGGAGAATACGATCCGCACACACACCTTCCTGACGCGCAGCTTCATCTGACCCAGGCATCCACTCCCGGTAATACTTGAGCACAGCCTCATGCGCAACTTCGAACACCTCTGCTGCAGTGAGCCCGTCTTACCATGCTAGAGCCGCGTCGGCCAGCGCTTGTGGGTCTTGTACCAGTCGCGCGTCCCAGTGGTCTGAGCCGCACATTCGTAGTGTCGCTTGGAGTATGTACCTCAGTCTCATATCGGCCGATGAGTATATTCGGGGACATACCAGGTCTCCACACGCGCATAGCCTTTAAGATCTCATACATCTCATCGCACCCGAACCCATCCTTCCCAGGATCAACCTCCCGTCCAAACTCGATCCGCCCCTCTCCAATCCCCAATAAGGACTGGGAGCCGTCACAGATATGGCCGACACTGGCTCGGCTGAAATCGATGATACACGGACGCCCGTCGCGCAGTAGAACATGACGCGGATCGAGCTGTCCGTGGATGATCTGCGCGGCGTGAAGATCGAGAACGGCGTTGACGAGGCTCGCCCTACAATAGACATCAGACGTTGAAACCCACACTGTATAGGCAGACGTACCGAAACCCCTTAGCACATCGAAACTAGAATATGTGAACGCACCTCTTCCGCCAGTGGCTAGTACATCTCTACTAGCACTGAAGTACATAAGATGCTAGGGAAAGTGCCAGCCTGTCCGAAATCGTTCAGCAATATCCAATCGTACGAGTAGTAGACACACGCACACAACAATACCCGTTCCTCTATTCCATTCCCCTGGCCCAACCTCCGCTTGGGTGCCAAGTGTCACTACAGCCTCGCCTCCTGAGCTTGATACACCTACTTTCTCTCACCGGTCTTGATACGAAATTTGCGATGTGCGGTGTGTCGAGGACAATGAGGAGGAAGACGTCGCGCCGACAAACGATGAGATCGGGAACAACCGAGTCGTACGCGTCCTCGATAGTCGAGCTCTCAGCGCTTCAGCCGGTCGTGCATGGCTCGTCCCAGGGCATTAGACTCATAGGAGGTCGAAAGATAGTTCAGCAAGGATACTGGGTGCATACATCGTAGTCGTGGATAGGAATGAGAAGCCGTCGCGGCTCGCGACATCGATGCGCGGCGAGGGTTGATAAGGTTAGGGTTACGCTCTCAATCACATTCTGTTCCCCGCCCACATACCTAGGCGTAGATCGAGCGGCCTAACAGCTCTGTAAGACCAGAAAACATTCCAATACGTCGAGCGCAGACCAAGATAGATCAAGAAAAGCAGATTACATAGCACTACTATACATCGCACATCAACTTCTACGTCCTCATCCCTCAACGTTCAACGCTCAAGAAACCCCCCTCAACATCTAATCAACGTCCTCAATCCCATGATACCCCGTCCCCCCTCCCCCTCC